AAATAATTGACCCTGTTTCTCTTGAACCATATGAAATTATAAACAACTTTATTTAAATACAAAATTACTTTTAATTTTAAGTACAGTTCCTGTGAATAATAATTTACAAAATTAATACAAACCTATAACCGATGGTTACGACCACTACATCCCCTTTAGTGGCCAATACATGTCCGCTATAGTAGTTTTCGACAGTCGAGCCTACTATGAGAGCTCCTCCATGTATCCAAACCATGACAGCTTTAGGCTGATCCCTGTCCACAACCTCAGCATTTGTATCTACCGGCGCCCATACATTCAAATATAGACAGTCTTCGCTGAAGTTTGTATTTCGGAAATTTTTTGAATAGCTTTGATAACAGGGCGCCGGCCATTGGCTGACCTCCAGGTGCTCAGACCAAGGTTTGATAGGCACCGGCTTTTTGAAGCGTAAGTCACCGGTAGGCGGTTCGGCATAAGGAATGCCTAAAAACTGGTTATAGTGTTTGCCGTCGAAAGTGTCGGTGCGGCCGTTGATTAACCCGTTTTTGGTGCGAACTGTGATAATAAGGTTATCATCGGTTTTGGCGTAATTTAGGCACAAAAGTAGTGCAAAAATATTTGCAACAATTATATTCATTTTATTTCACTATACTTTAAATTAATTATTTTTAAGACAATTATTTAGTAATTCTTATTTTGTAAAACTTAATTTTTAATTCATTATATTTTTATTGTCAAATTATTTTATTATATTTTATTTTGAATATAATATATATTTTGCAAAAATTCTTTTAATATGAAGTCATTGAGACTATTATATAATAATATTTCTGTGATATATCTATGAATATATTATCTATTGATTATTATGAAGGACAGTATGGTTGAAGGCCGGGTAGTGTGCTAAACCTTGATAAGATTCTGGTTAATCATAATGAAAATTGTTATCTTATCTATGCGCCTACTAATATACAGCACAATTATTATTGAAATCATTGATTAATTAAATAATTTTTATTTTTACGGATGAATAGAAATAAAATTGAAGTCCAGATTAAATTCATTGTACTCTATATTAGGCTTATAGTTATAAAAGTTTTATACCATATAATGAATAGTCTATTGCTTACAATAAGGTATTAGGAATATATTTGAAATGCTTGAATGCATGAGTTGTACCCAATATTATGATTGCATTTATTGCAAAATTATTTTTCAATACAATATTAAAAGTTATTATTTTTATTTAATAAACTATTAATTAAATTAATTAAATTTTACACAGACATAACCAAGGTTAAATGTTATGTTTATTGCTGATCGATATACTTTTTCCATAAGTACTCGCACTCAACGACCTTAAGTCCGGTCCCGAAATTAGTGACCGGTTTTGGTTGGTTTGTGAACTCATAATACGGTCTAATCGTGTGGTTATCCAACCGATAGTAGGCCTTCCAATCGGCGCCGTCCAGTGCCGGAGGTTCACTAGTAATGCAAAATTATTTTATGCATAGTATGAATAAAATCTTTAGTAAACTTACCCTGTTTTAGCAAACGTAGAAAATATGTGGATCATTTTCTCGGATAAATCTCGTTCCTGATCAACAAAATGACCATGCTTGTCAAATGATACTCCAAATACTGGGTAGACATCATCGAAATGACAGACACCTGACCACTTGGAGCACAGTTGTTTGGGTTCACCTAATTTGCTGTTATAGTAGTACTGATAGACACGGCTATCGCTCACATCATTCTCGTATAAAGTCTTCGCAAACTGTATGGCCGGACAGCCTAACAGGTAGTCCCCGATGGCCACACCTATTGTTTGTCTGAGTATATCCTGTGGAGTCTTATCGGACAGACCCGTGAAGTATACTTTAGACACCATTTCCCCGTCAATGGGCTCTTTGGACCACATTTTACGGGAAATCCTACTTAACTCGTTGTAGGCCTCCATATGAGTCATAGGGGACGGGGAGTGTTGGCTATACTTCACAGAATCCTCAGTGAGCCATAAGATCCAGGAGCCTTCGTCCTGAGCGGTGCCAACCATTAAATTGATTCCTTTCTTATGGTCCCCTTTACTAAGCATTTCCAGGGGTCGGGCCGGTAGGAACTCCCCGTCTATTATGACTACTGTATTCCAACCAACAATACCCTCCATTAGCGCCGGCAGTATGGGAATGGCTGCTAATGTTTCTGCAGGTGTGTTGTGTAAGCAGTCAATGATTTTAGGCGTAAACTCCTCGGGGATGTCGTCCCCTTCCGTGCAGTTGATAGCCTGCGCCCCTCTCAACCACTTTTGCATGACATCCCGGGCCGGTTCACCAGCATTTCGGTTAATGGCGGCGCCGGACATCATAATAGCGTTTTGAAATAAAGGCCGTGATATGGGGGACAGTATGTGCAAACTGGTAGACCATCCACCGGCTGACTCCCCAAACACTGTTACCCTATGGGAATCGCCGCCGAAGAGCTCGATGTTATCGTTGACCCACTGGAGGGCCAGTACCTGATCCCAGAGACCCATATTTCCGGGCGCGTCGTCTGTACCCGTGTATAGGAATCCAAAAGTACTGGTTCTGAAAAAGGACAGGTAGTTTGTCAATATTGCTATGAAATATATTATACCGATGATTAAAGACAAGATTCCGAGTTAAATAACTATTTGTTGCCATATCGGATATAGTCGTGGGATTAAGTATGCACACGAATAATGTAACGACACTTGTTGTTAGCGTTACATTATTGTCACTTAGTGTCATTATTATCAACTTTTATTTTACCCATAAATAACCTTTCACGTTTTTGGCAACTTTATTAGCTATTCTAATAACTATTTAATGTAATTTGTATTTTTATGCAAAAAGTCCATGAGTTTGTAAATGATTCATTGATAGACTGTAAAAATAAACTATTCAACTTTCTAGAAAAATATTAACAAACTGTAAAACAAATTATAAAACTATCTATATATTGATCTGGAAGTAGATTTTTAGTTTCTCAAAAGTTGGCCTGTTTTAGGTACTCTAGTCAGCTAACTAATTGTGATATTGATTGCGGGGTTTTTGGCTTATAAATTAATTTTAAGTAATACCTTTTTGTTAATTATAACTCCAAAAAATCAATAATTTGTATGAAATTTGCGGAAAAATAAATAACTTTTAAGTAACTATTTGACACTTTTTCAGTGACTATCAAGGTTGTGTTTACCACTTTTGAATCCAGTCTTTACTGATGATTATTACTTGCTTTTTAAAATACAGTTCTCGAGTATAACTATGACTAAAGCCAATATTCAGCGGAGAGAATACACTGTTTTAAAACGACTTGGGCGCAATATAGTCTGAGTGAACAGCCCTAACTTAGTCTATGCGCTAATCCCTGTACAGGTAATCCGATAGCGTATGGTTTTAATATAATGTTGATTTCACCGATAAGAGAGATTAAAGGTTGGTCCGTTATACTGAACCCAATTCGCCTAAAAACAGTGTATTTTCGCACAAAATCTCCACTCAATATTGGCTTTAACTATGACTATGGCATTAAAAAGTAATTATGTATCATGGTTGTTCTGGCCACAAATTAAATATGAGCAACGTTAATTTATGTTGAAATATTATTTTTATGTTTATTATAGTTTTATAGTTTATCGCAAATACAAAGCTAACAAGTTAGTTTATTATAAATTATATAAAAACATGGTTACAATATTATAAAACATAGTATTATAGTAAAAAACATTAACAATTTTAACATTAAAAACACAAACCTATAGCCGATGGTTACGACCACTACATCCCCTTTAGTGGCCAATACATGTCCGCTATAGTAGTCCTCCACCGGTGAGCCTACTATGAGAGCCCCTCCATGTATCCAAACCATGACAGCTTTAGGCTGATTCTTGTCCATGGCTTCAACACTGATACCTACCGGCGCCCATATATTCAAATACAAACAGTCTTCACTGAATTGTTTGTTTCGGAAATTATCCAAAAAGTCTGGATTATGTTGATAGCAAGGGTTTGGCCATTGGCTGGCCTCCCGGAGCTCAGACCACGCTTTTATGGGAACAGGCTTTTTGAAGCGTAAGTCACCGATAGGCGGTTCGGCGTAAGGAATGCCTAAAAACTGATTATACGGTTTGCCATCGAAAGTCTCGGTGCG